GCAAACAATGAATCATGGAACACTACATCAAAAACTAATGATGTAATGTATGGTGATTAACATAACATAATAAAAAAATAAAAAATAAAAGTCACTGAGGTCAGGCAAATACAGAAAATAAAATATATTTCCCTTTTCTTTCAAAGTGCAATGCTTCTACCTCTTTAAACAAATGCATGTTGTGTAAAGACTGACAATTGAATCCTTTTATCTGATCTCTGAGTATTAGATGACTCGAAATTTAAGAAAATGCAAGGAACATTGACTCTTGGAAAAACAGCCTATATCACAGAAAAATGCACACAAGGAGATACAAATCAACAAAGAAACAAAACACCCTCAACCCAGGCCTTTTAGGAAAAGTAGCCATATATTTATGGGAGGGGTGTGTAAAAGCACTTTAGTGAAGAGAACCGGTGATCACAATTCATCAAAGTTAAGCGGTAGCGAGGTTATCACTCCATGAAAAATCACATAAACATTTCACATATAAAATATTATTCATCAGGGCAAAACCCTCTAAGGGGTTGAGAGATAGCAAAGGTGTCATGAAACCCCCCCTTTTTCTAAAGAAAAGATATATTCCACAACTGAGATGGAATCTGTGGTCATGTAGTAGGTAAGAGAGGAGTATAATTGAGAAGAAAATTAGCAAACCTTAAATATCTGCCTCTGCAATATCATTACCCATAAACTTGCCCTTTTTCCACCCTCTTTTCCCCAAAGACAGATGTCCCATATCTGAACTGAGGGAGATGTGTGCTTTTTAACAGCTAAATCAACAAGGTTTCACATGAGTAGTGCTGTGCGGTGTGGTTGACTGATTTCATGAAAAACTAATCATGTATTCATCATTGAGATCAAACACTTCCCAAGTAATTATCATCCAAGCCCAATCTGATAGGGTCTGAAAAAGTGGCGCTGCTGATATAATCAGAGGCTGAGCAGAAGAGTTCTCTCAGCTTTTGTAAACCTTGGGTTGGAAAGCGCAAAACGGAAATTGTATTTTATAATTAAGAAAGGTAAAGTTGGCAGGCGGCAATCAATTATTTCAATCAATCATAACAATTTTAGCTTGCCTGGTTATTTACTGGAGCACATGTTTAAAAATTGACTTTTCATACGTGGTCTTTGAAACATTTTTTTTTTAATGTGAGGAAAAAAAGAAAAATGCAAAGACATTTTTGAATTTAAATACAAGCCCTTTGTGTACCCACTGCCAAATAGCATCCTATCACATCTATGGTTTCTTTATTTTGAGCTGTGGTATTATTCTTTTTGAAAAAGAGCTATTATTATATTGAATTGTATGTCATTACAAAATGATTGCTTTCAGAAAATCTTATTTTGGCTTTATGTCTGTGATTATAAATTTAGATGAAAACAAACAATGTAGAACATTTAAATGCTTCACAGACGACTTCCACACACATCACCATGAACGCTTCTTATGTGTCTGGTAATACGTTAAGTGCTTTCCATGTGTTATTTCATTTAATCTTCAGACAGCTTAATGAAAGAGATCAAGTTATAACCCTCACTCACGAATGAGGAAACCAAGTCATGGAGAGGCTGAATCTTGCTCAAGGTCACAAATAACAAGTGAGAGAGCTGGGACATGATGCTAGCCCAGTGAGTTTCAGACTCGAGCAGGCCCCCTTGACCATTATTCAGAACAGAGCAGGCCTTCCTCATAGTATTGAATCGTGGGGTGACAGTATGTTAAAAAGAACTTTCTATATGCCAGAGGCTGATCTATGCACTTTATATATGGCTGTTGGACCTCTCTGAAGCTTGGGTTTTTAATTTGTGAAATGGTGATAATAATCTCTATTTTCAGAGTTATGAAAATGGAGCTAATGTAGGTCAAGGCTCCACCACTGCGCCTACCGAGTAGGGAGCTTTAATTGACTTGTCTTACATCCAACAGCCAGCAAACAAAGGGTCTGATTTACAAGTGGGCTGGATGCCAGATACAAGCCTGAGAGGTTGGCAGAAGTACCGTCATAATTATTGCCACAATTACAAACCTCAGGTAATATGCTCTTTCTAATAGATCATGCCAGCGCCTGGAAAATATGTATAACTTGAAGTTTAACAAATTAAATCACATGCTTTGGTTCATAATATAACTAAATGGCTTTGCAAGTCTAAATATTCACATTTTGCCATTTCTTAAATGTGTATCTGCTGCACATATCTTATCCATATTTTACAAGTTTCTATTCATTGTTCAAGATTAAATGAATTTCCTTAACCTGGAGATCTCGTTTTATTATCCATTTTTAATTTTTTTATGTATCATTATAGAACATGAACCAAACTCTACTTCATATAACCAAGTTGATTATGTAATTCCTTTATCAAATTTAATAGCATTAATTAAACATCTGCTATGTACCAGACACATAGAAGGTAACTTACATATTTCTTACAAAATTGTGGTGTGTAGAATTGGGAGTTCTTTCTGATAGCCAAACTCATAGGAACAGAGAGTAGAATGGTAATTACCAGGGGCTGGGGGAGAGAGAAATGAGGAGATGTTGGTCAGAAAGTATAAAGTCTCAGTTATGCAAGATGAATAAGTTCTGGGGATCGAATGTACAACATGGTGACTATAGTTAACAATACTGCATTGTATACTTGAAATTTGCTAGGGTGTGCTCACTACACACACACACACACACACACACACACACACGGTAACTATGTGAAGTGGTGGATGTGTTGATTAACTCACGATGTATATGCAC